AAAATTGTTTAAAAATGTTAAAATATTGAATTATATATTTAAAAAGATTTTTTTTTATTAAAATTATTATTTTAACCTCTAACATAAATAATAAAATTAATATTAATAATAAAATATAATAATATATAATTGATTTACATATAAATATATATCTATTTAGAAATTATAGAATTTTAAAATTAATATAAATAATGATAAGAATATAAATTATTTAAAATTTATGTATATAAATAGAGAAATTTCAAAATACAAAAATACATCTAAAAATATTATAAAAAGAAATTTTAATTTTTATACTTAAAATATTCAAAAAATATTTATTTGATTTTTTATTGTTGATATTAAAAAAAATATTAATTATTTAATTGTCCAATAATCCAATAATTGTCCAAATATAATATTGTAAAAGATTATTAAATAAAATTATTGATAAGATGCCTATAACGCATGCGTTACTGGAATCAGCTGGTTTCGTTACATATAAAAAGTATATATAAAATGTACATTTTTCCTGCAAAATCGTATTATTTGTTACGTGATATTTCTTTTAAAATGATTTTTAATATAATACGGTAGACGATATGCAATAAATTTATGGATAATTCAATCTTTTTTATATTAAAACCATCTTAATTGTACCACGTCAGATTTTTGGTGCGTAGTAATTGTATAGTAGTGATGGTTATAAAAGGGGTTATGAACATGGTGATTGAAGCGGTGATAATAGCGGTAGCGGTAGTAACGGCGGTAGTGACGATAGTATAGTGGTAAAGTGATGATACATTTGTACATTTATAAAAATATCCATTTATTGACAGTAAAATTTTTGATGAGAAGAGTAATGTAAGCATTTAAAGAAATGAAGATTTATATTACGTACGTGTATCAGATATTACTTTTTATATCAGTTGCTTCCAGGTAAGTATTTTATCTTTTTTCCTCATGAACAATTTACATACATGTGTAATCAAATTATGAAAAATGAAAATTTTTAATAAAAATAATTATTTGCATTCTTTGTATTTTTATAATATTAATCAATTGCTTTTTATTTTTATATATAAAAAAAGAAATTGAAGATGAATATTTGAAATATAACATATTTTTTGCTAAATTATATTTTGATTACATACTTTTTATTTTCACTAAGATATTTTAATATTTTTCTTTAATATTTTAATATAAAAATATTTAATTTAAAGATAAAAAAAAATATGTCAAGTTTTTTTTTAACAAACTATATACAAATAAATAAAAATAAATGTTATATGAAATTTATTGCAAATATTCTTTTATGATGTCATAAAGTTAAGTGTAAAATGTATATTAAGTTATGCAAAATTTAATAAAAATATT